ATTCTATAGTAATTTATAGTGATCTACTGAGGACAGGGTATGTAATAAACATATTTTATGACAGCGGTGAGATCCCAAAAGCTTTGATGAAGACAGTTTTGATAGCTTTTCCTAAAACAACAGGCGCCACTGAGTGTGATGCAGAGAACAATCAGCCTTATGAGTCATTGTACAAAAATATTGCTGCGAGTAATAATGGGAAGATTGAGAAAAAGTGTAAGACCAGAGATATCTAAAACACAATTCAGGTTTGTTCCTTAAATGCTACATATTCACCTTAACAATATTATTGGAAAGATGTATTGAAGCACAGAAATATCTGTATTTATGCTCCACAGATTATTCAAAGGCGTTCGATAAAGTTAGACATGATGAGCTATTTAAACTACTGGAAAAGCTAGATATAGATGGAACAGATCTAAGAATTATCAGGAATTTGTACTGGGACCAAAACGCTGCTGTACGAATTAATGATACAGTGAATATAAGCAGATTAGGCGAGGAGTGAGGCAAGGATGTGTTATGTCACCAGACCTCTTTAACATGTACAGTGAAACAATCCTTAGAAACATAGAAGAATGTCCAGGCCTCAAAGTAAATGGAGAAAATATTAATAACATCAGATAGGCCGATGACACAGTTTTAATAGCAGGCTCAGAAAACGACCTTAATTGCTTCTAGACTCTGTTGTAACAGAAAGTGAACTTAAAGGATTAATTTTGTGTTGAATGTAAAGAAAACAGAATACATAGTCTACTCTAGTTGTAATCTCATTAGCAAAGGTGAAAAGATCAAACAAGTCCAACAGTTTAAATATCTATGATAACATCTGATGCCAAATGTTCCACAGAAATAAAATGGACAAAATTCATAATTATAATTTCCACCAAACTGATAAATACTTCTGTGTACTAAGCGCTCATAATATGACCTTGTGCAGTTGTGTGCACACACACACACACACACACACACACACACACACACACACACACACACACAACCCCAGCAATAACAATAACAACAACAACAAAACATCACAACAGATGATCAACAAAATGGAGAAATTAACACGTTTGATTCTATTTTTTTCTTTAGAAGTGGTCCCAGTAGTCAGATCATTTGAGTGATTATATTCGTCTCCAAAATGATGCGTAAACTTTAAATGGAAATTTTAGCAGGACTGACCATACGGACAAGCTCTGGCATTTTCCCCTAAAGACGACGCCTGGCCCAGAAAAATGCTCTAGCCTAGTCCTAGTACCCAGGGGCGAAGGCTGACTTGTTTGACAGGGTAATCAAAGTGAGACCGGACCAGATAGGGCCTGGAGATATCACTCAAGAATTTGACTTGAGGCGGCAACACGACTGAGTGTGAATGAAAACAATAAATTCTGAACTTATATATATTGTATGTTCAACTGCCAAAATAATCGGGAAAGTATCTTATTAAATATTTATTCCAACTAACATATTTAACTTTAGATGTAAATTTTATACACAAACACACAGCAAAGAAGCAGAGATGTCAGTACTATGTAATACCAGTGAGTTTAAACTCTTTGGCAGAAAACATGACAATTATAATTTTTTTTTCTTTTTCACATTTGGCTGTTTTTGTCTAGCTTTTCGCCGCTAGGAGCCGGTGTCATAATCGAGGTCACGATCTGATTAAAGGAAGGTAAAAAGTCGAGGGGAAAAAAACAAACACTCGCAGCAGTCAAGAGATTATTAGGAGTTAGTTCCCCTCACATTTGTGAGGTAGACTCGACCAGTGTAATAGTTAACTTACATAATATCAGTGCCTGTGACTACTTATAACTGTCGCCCGAAAGAGATGAACACGGTATATGTGGCAATGAAACAGTTTTGAGTGTTGTGCACATGTTCCCTTCAACTCTTTTGGTAGACTCTTCCAGCCTCACTGTAAGCTTACTTTATCAAAGCTTGTGACTGCTTATGGAGTGGCACGAAAGGGGTGAACAGGCTATTTCTGTGGCTATGAAACCTTGAATGTTTAGGCATACTGTTCATTGGTGATTATGAACGTCTTTTTACCTTTAATTTATAAGGTTTACGTTTATGGGTGAATTTGACTGCGACAATGTTTCAAAATTAGGAAGGGAAACAGAGATTATTTGATATAGACGCTTAGTCTCTGCTAGTACCTATGTTATGTAGTCTTAGGGCGAAAACATAGAGAACGCCGATTTCGGAGACTGACTCAGTAAGCACCGATAGGTATAAAAATTCCCTTATGATTTCTAACTTGCCCCACATAGAGCTGGCCGACTGCAGGCGGCTTTAAACTCGGATCGGAGTTGTCGGCTTTATCGGAATCCAAACTACATTCTTATTACGCCGAAAAAGTGGGAAGGGCGTCTCGCTGTCAACTCGCGACCGCAGTGCTTTCTTGTCGTATTTTCATTTTTT